AGTTAAGTAGGTTTTGAATATATGAAGGTAGTATTAAGAAGGATCTTAAATTTTTAAAATTAATTCAAAAAACCTTAATCCTTTTGAATAAACAAAATAATATATATATGGATTAAAATTCCCTGTAATCATTTTTTGAAAAAAATTCCATCATCCCTTCCTCGGTGCCATCACCGGCAATAGTAGCGCCACCACTGCCAGCGACTTTTCCAGATCTGGTGCCATCATCGTTAGGGACTTCCCAATGTTTAAAAAAGTAAAATTTTATGCAAGCTTTTTTCCGCCAAAATATTTAAAAGTGAAACAACGGAAATTTAATGGTGATGGTAAGATAATTTAGCACAATCACAAAGCGAATTTTCACAATGAACTTTTAACTCAAATAAAAAATGTTTTATGTTGAAATTAACAGAATTTAACATTCAAAGAACGCATATACACACGTCAAAGTTTGAGTAGTTAGCACTTGGAGAACGCAAAATTTTATGTGTATATAAGAGAATGTAGCACCCAGTGAATACAAATTTACAGGTCTAGGTATAAGAATTTAACAAAACAACAATAACAACAAACATTATCTCACTAAGTGAGGTTAGCTACATAGATCGTATAATGCCATTATACTTTATCAACAATCAAGTCTTTAGATATATTGTTGATGAGAAAGTCTCACTCAATAACTTTATTGAGCATTCTTCTTGGTCTTCTTCTATCTCTTCTTATAGGACTCCAAACTGTACGATCTACCCTTCTCACCAACGCCTCCAATGACTTTCTCTACACATGCTCAAATCACCTCAAATGATGTTCAACTATTTTCTCTTCGATAGAGACCATACCTTACTCTAATATTTTCATTTCAAATATTATCTTTTCTTATATGACTATACATCCATCTCAATATCTTCATTTCTGCTACTCCAACTTTACACTCTTGTTTTTCCTTTAAAGCTCAATATTCGCTACCATACAACATACCTGGTCTTATAACAATCCGGTAGAATTTTTTCTTAAGCTTCTCAGGTATATTATTATCGCAAATAACTTCAATAGCCTTCTTCTACTTTCACCATCCAGCTTATATTTTATGAAAAATATCTCTATCAATTTCATTATCCTCATATATAATGAATCTTAGATATTTGAATTTTGATACTTGAGGAATGATTTGATTTCATGTCTTCACCTCCAAATCACTATTGATTTGCCTTCCTCCAAAATTGTAATGCATATTCTATTTTGTTCTTGCTTAAGCAAAAATATTTCGACTCCAAGATCCTTATCTATAACTCCAATTTAGAGTTAATTTCTTCTCTTGATTCAGCCATGAGAATTATGTCATCTGGAAAAAGCATGTATTTAGATATTTCTTCTTGAATAAACTCAATTAAAACATGTAAAACAATATTAAACAAGTAAGGGCTTAAAGAAGACTCTTGGTGCAGACCAACTTTAATAGGGAAGTCCTTTGTTTCACCTGTAAGTATTTTTACACTAATAGTTACCCCCTTATAAATATTTTGTATGGTTTTGATATATGCAACCCACACATCTTTCTTTTTCAAGGCTTTGCAAAGTACTTATCTTGGCATATGATCATAAACTTTTTTCAAGTCAATAAAAATCATACTACCTCCGGTCCTTAATATAAGACCCCGTTTGATTTTTATTTTGGTCATAAATATAAGACCCCAATCCATTTTGTCTCTCATATTTACTCAAATTTTTTCAAGATAGTCCTTCTAATAATTATAGTTCTAGTCAATACACTTGATTAGTAAGGATATTTTAGGAAAGACAACACCTATTTAGGACAAATAACTAACTCAACTTCCTTCTTTAATCTCTTCAAATTAGTCCACTGGCTCTTATAATTAGGACCGGAGATAGTATATAAATCCCTTCTTTTACTTCTATACCTTTCCATTAACCCCTTCAGTAAACAAATTGCTTCTGTTGTGGGTCTCCCCGAAATAAATCCAAATTAATTCTAAAAAATAGAAGTCTTCAACCTCAACCTATGTTCAATCATTTTTTTTCTACAACTTTATCGTATGGCTCATAAGATTTATATCTCTGTAGCTTACAAAGTTTTGAATATTTTCTTTATTATTGTAAATATGAATTGAAGTGTTTTTCTTCCATTCATCCGGCACAGTCTTGGAATAAAAAATTTCTTTAAAAAACTTGGTGAACCACAATTCATCCTTTTATCCTATACTTTAAAGGTTTGAGAATTTAAGCCAGCACAAATTTTCTTGTGTTTAAAGCTGAAATGCAAAACAAAAAATCGAAGTGTGAATTGATAAACTCAGATTGAGATAGACAACCAAAGCACTACCCATTTTATGGTTGTCTTTGAAACAAACAAAGGAATAAGAGCTGTCAAAAAGAAGGAATCAGGGGTTAGGAAAAGCTAGGAAGCATATATCAGGTCGCTCAATCAGCCTAAAAGAAGCGAAGTTCGGGAAGAAGCCATCAAATGTAAGGAGGAAAAGAAGAGGGTAGAGACAAAAACGATATCACTTTGTTGCTCTATTTCTATATATAAATCACTTGTATCATATTCTCACATAATGCATTAAATTAATAAAAGTTCTCACATATGCCCCTATTAAGAAAAGGGTTTGGGAAAAAAATACATGCTGCATATTTCCTCACATAATTTCTTTATTATACTCAATAGAGATAAGATTAAAAAAAAACATTAAATACCCTACAAATAACTTATGTTTGGGAATAATATTTTTTCCCCTACAAGTGACTTGCAAGGGAGAACAAAATTCTAAGGCGGTGGTGAAGGATAAAGGAAAAGACGGCGGGAACTAAGGAAGGAACAAGGAAGGAAGCAAAGCAATGATTAGAGGTTGTGGACAGTCACGTGGTGGAGGAGAACATGGAGGGAGTAAAAAAGATAAGGCACACCAAAGTAGAACAACGGAAGAACTACAGAAGTAGCGAAAGACTGGGGAAAAAGAAAGTGCGACACGGCTCACCAAATGAGGCGAAGTTATTGACGACAGAGGGAAGAAGCGGTGGCACATCAGCAACGAGGGGCGAAGAAGACGAAGGAGAGAAGAAACCTCCAGACAAAGCTCTCATATTAAAACCTTCATTTTAAATACTGGTGAAGTTCAATATGAACTTGATTTGCACGACCAATGCATTCCAATTTAAAAATTTTTTAAATTTACCTTTTTTTTGAATTTGGACTTGTAAATCCTTTGAATAGTAGGTTTTAACTTTGTTGACTCTGAAATCTGAACAACCCATGCCAAGGGCTTGATTGTGTATCCATTCAGAAGGAAAGACTTGGGAAGGCCACAATCATAATAGGAGTTCGACCATAGCAGACTATAATTCTCATTGCTAACAAAGCCACTGCCTTACCACCCAAGACACACACAGAAGAGTTGTGCTCGTTTCGTTGAGATTCATGCTGCTGTTTATAAGGAAGGGGTGGGACACTGTTTATATAAAAGCCACTGTGTTGCTTTTGATCCCATGGTTTGAATTTCACCTGTAATCAACTTGCAATGCCGCTATTACAATAAGCTTCCGTGTCTAAGCTCCAATAAAATTGGAGATGGAGAACAATCGCCGTGTACCATATCAAACAACAGAACCACCAGGTGAAAATTACTAGACACAATCACGCATGCTCTACCAAGCCTGGAAATAGCATGCTGAAACTAACACAACAAAAGGTTAATAAATCCGCTTAATCGTCAAGGCCTCATAAACGCAATAAGAGATGCAAGCATGACAAATGCTGTTACATTGGTAAACATAAGAGGCACGGTTAGAGCAAGTCTCCATCACAAATCTATGCACCATATCACCTCCAATCCTTAATATAAGAGCTAATTTGGCTTTTAATTTGATCCTAAATATAAAACTCCAATCTATTTTGTCTTTCGTATTTATCTATTTTTTTCAAGTAGTTCTTGTAGATGTTTCATCAAATAGTAGTTTTAGCTAATATACATAATTGGCAAGGGTATTCTGAAAAAAACATCACATATTTATTACAAATAACTAACTTAACTAATTTTCTTAATCTCTCCAAATTAGTAAACTAAATCTCATATTACGGACCGGAAGGTAGTACATTGTATCGGGGGAGCAGAAGCATGGATTTTAGTTAGTGTAGAATAGCAAGAACTCAAGAATTTGTGAAAGGCCAGATAGCTTCACATTCCCCGGTAGGTTAGAAGAATACCCAAGATTAACAGCCACAAACACATTGGTCACAACACAGTAGCTAAGTAGCTAACTTGATAAATAGTCTAATTCGCATCCAATTCGAGCATGAAAGAAATGCAGGAGCATCAAAAAAATGATTTCATTTTCTATTAAGCCCCAGATTTGTCTGGGTACATCCATTTCAATGAAATGTATTAGATAAAAGAGCAACAAAACTGTCTAAACTCGAGGTTTTACAGTACAAATATATAAGGATTACACAGAAGCACAATAGCAACAGAAACAAAACAATGCATAACAGAAAACAAATCATAAACTTCATTATCCGGTTCACTTTTTGACAAACATCAGTATTGTAAATGTCAAGACAGAGCCATAGGTGCAAATAGCAAGATTAGTCAAAGCAACCTTGATCATTTCCTTGGAACTCAAGTCTTATTATCCACGACTCCACAATTCTATAGGTATTCCCAAAACACTGCCAAGCACAATGCAGCACACTCACCAACCATTTCACTACTCCATCCCCAACATTGTGTAGGAAAGAAGGGAAAGAGGCCGTCAGAACAGAACGAGACTAAACTTGAGATAAAACTGCTGAATAATATGAATTGGAACCTTGAAGTATAAAATCATTGTTCCAACAAGAGGAACAACAATGTCAAATTCCTAAAGCAAGCTAAACAAATCATCACACCAACTATCCATTTCAGTCTGTAAGCCAATCATCATGGTGAAATTGAAGTAGAGAAAAGCACAAATATGAAAACATTTAACCGATTACACACACATTATAAAATTCAAGGGGAATAAAAATAATAAATTGAAGTAAGTAACATTAATCATTCCAATTATTGGGAACAAAAAATGAGATTAGACTCTTTCTCTCTTTCTCTCGTAATTCATCTTGTTCAATAGCCTCTAGTCCGGCCACAAATCCGGAAAAAACGTGAATGTAAAACGTTCTCCTTTATCATTTTTGTTAAACAAATTACTATGAAAACACAATTTTCATTTCTGAACTAGCGTATTTCGCATGGACCTAAGACATTCTCACTTATCATTAGAAGCCGCTTCTTTCCCAGAATCCTTGGCCTCCTTTGACTGGGAAGCACTCTGATCTGCAGTCTGCTCCGCCGTCCCTGCTTCTTTTTCCAATTCATCGACGAATTGTTTCTCAGCCGCCTTCTCTGCCCTCAAAATAGGCTCGTAGTAGTCTGCATGAGCCTCCATACACAACTTCAATTTCGCAGTTACCTCAACGCACTTATCCACAACATCCTCCTGGTTCTTCTCTGCCTCTTCAATGCACTTCTCCCAATCGATAAAGCTATCTCTGCATCCACCTCCTTTCATGAACAAGCAAAATCCACACTCCCCCTCTTCTTCCTCCTCCTCCTGCTTCTGCTGATCTGACGGAGCATCTTCTGGCTTAGCATCAGCCGGGGAATCTGATTGCTGAGTTGGCGTTTGACTCGGGGGCGAACCGGAGTCAGGATTTAGGGGTTTAGTATCAGGCGGGGACATAGCGTTCAGATAGATTGGAGTTTTACAGGATGGTGAGGATCACGGCGGAGAGATGAGCCGCAAGAGGAGGAGCAGACGGTGCCTGTGTCGCTAGGGCTTCTTCTGATGGAAGGAGGAAGTTGCGTCGCCTGTTTCCGCCCTCCTTCGCTTAAAACCTCCTTAAACCCTTTGAACAGAATTTCGTGAAATTTTTTAATTAAGAAAATGCGTATGTTGCTTGAAAACTAGGTAATCTCAATTTGCGTGGTTCTTATTTAAGTTGATTTCTTATTCCTTATTTCCTTTAGTACTTTTTTGTCATTGATCTTTTCCAATACATAATTCAGAAACCGTACTAAATTTCATTTTATCGAAATTGACTTAAAAGATTAAAAACTTAAAATTATCCTAAAAATGTTTAAATTAATAAATTTATTAATCGCCTTGTCAGTTAATAACATGAAAACTCCCATATATAAAGTTAATTACCTTTTTTTTTTATTTTGTTATTATCATATAGTTTTAAATTTCATTTTATCTAAATCGATTTAAATCTAAGAAAAATCTCAAAGAAATCTATTAGAAGAGGTTGAAAACTCAAAATTATCCTAAGGGTACGTTTAAATTAATAAATTTATCAATGGTATTGTGATCTTGTACGAAAACTTTAATATATAAATTTAATTACCTAAATTTTTTTATTTTGTTATTATCATATGCTTTTTAATAGATCTAGTATTATTTTCTTGGGATTAGTCTATTAATTCACAATTCATATAAAGTTTATCAATGAAACCCATGGTATAAAGTATAACTTATTCACTATTTTTGCATACATGTTTTGTGCTGCAATGTTGCATAAGCCTTTGTAATAACACAAGATACTAATTTATTAATTTTATTGCAAAATATTATATCTCCATAGCGTATATGATGTATACCACATAATAATATTTTTTTAGTTCTTAATATATGACCTAATTAAAAAACTGTTTTTAATCCTAAATAGAAGACATATATCTTATATTTATTATTTTTTTCTAAACCATCCCCTAGTAATACTCCCTCAGTAAAATAGTGAGTTCTTCTTTTATAAGAATGATTGAAGTCGAAGGCTATCCAAGTAAAAGTGTTTTAAAAAAAAACATGATATATTTATTATAATTAACTAATTTAACTAACTTTCTTAATATAATTAAATTCTTCAAATTGGTCTAGAACGGGAAGAGCAATGAATTACTTTAGATGAACAATATCATAAATTATACAGGGCATCATTTCTGGCTTGGATTCTCCACTATTCATCCTTGTTGTTATCTTCCTCATTGTCCTCTCTGTAGTAACTGAAAGGAAGTGGTACTGACTTGAAAGGACGATACTTGCCTACATTGTTCAAGTACTCATTCTCCAACCTGATCAGTTTTCACATTTTCTCAAGTCAGCTCCAACAAGTTGAATTTTAATGGTTTGAAAATTCAATCTTTTGACAAGTCCAGCAGGAGACATTACCTAAAGAAGTTCCAAATGCCACGGCGTATGATTTCCAGGCACCCAATTACTGTTGTCATTGCCACTTTTTGAAGGGGGCGCCATGTCAGTTGAAGCACTGACTGCATCCAGATAAGTCTAAGCAAAACGTCAAGGCCCTGCAAATTTCAGAGAGATCAAATGAATCAGTCTGAAGAACAAAGCATCATTTTTTTTTCCTTCTTTTGGCTTAGTTGAAATTCTTCTTGTTACCATAGCAATGAAGTAGACACATTTATGAGGAAGAAGAAGCTTATCCCTCAAATATGGGTTCCTTGAGTGTCTTCTGAGAAGTCCCCAGTCAACAAAAATATCCCAATATGTGTTCTGTATCACAGTTATGGATGATGTTATTAGAGCCAACACCTTCCAAGTCACTCCTTTCTTCAGTTCAAAGGCCGTCCTACTGAGAAGGGCCAGGATGGTGAAGAGGTAATTCAAGCCATGCCATGCTCTGATGATATCTCCTTCATCATACAATTGACGCAGGCACTGCACAAATTCAATATGCTGTTCAATTTCTGTACTGCAATGGACATAAACGCTTGATCAACAGGTAAACAACATGATTACATTGGAAGAAACTTGTATGCTGCTATTAAATGTTTGCTATCACATTCTTTAGAAAGTAAAACCTTGGATTGTTAAAAGGCATATATGAAGGATAGAATTTGTGGACCTGTGCTAAGCGAAACCAGAAAGGAATGACACCGATGATGAAAGACAGTGTGTTATAGACACCACGACTTTGACATTTTTCTTGTCTTCTTGAGTGTTCTCCCAAGCCATAATAGCATATGTAAAGCTCAAAATTTCTGAAGGCTTGAACCTAAACAAAATAGCAGACTATGGATGCGGTCATTACCATAAGAAATAGATCAGTTTTTAGTTACCAGTAAACACCATGTGAGCATAAGACCTGGCTAGTTATCTGGTCAGCAAAGAAGAAATCCGGAAGCCTAACCTGCAAAAAATCAGAAATTGTGAGTGGCATTTAATCCATTTGCTTATGCCTTTCTTTTTTCTCCCCTATTTAATTACATTACCGGGCGGAAAGGAGCACATATGGAGCGAAATAAACACTTGATGAAGAAGAACCGGCTTGATCGAAATATGATGTCAAAAGGACAGAAAGTTATCAAAAGAACAAGCTGCACATGAAACATAAAAGGAGTTGAACATAATGATGGCACAATAATTTGGTTTTTCGTTAACAGCATGACAAGCAATAAGTCTGAATTTAAGGCTTTACTCTAACCACTCAGGCCTATCACCCCTAAACCATATCAAGAGGCTTGTTGAGTTGTATTTAAAAGCAATAAATAAATTAGGACAGTCAGTTAGATTAGAATATTACCATAAGCAAGCTCAAAGGAACTATTTCTGCTGCCTTCCTATGGCTTTGAGTCTTTGGGTTCATCTCTAGCTGCAGATTTACCAAGAAACCAAGTAACGCAAGCACTGCAAGACCAGTGCTCAGCAGGAAAATTTCTCTGCAACCCAATTCAGTTCCAGGCTTGAACCCAAATATGAATGGATAATTCACTCGATAGCGCCTCCAAAAATATGCATCCACGGCATACATAAGCATGTGTAGTGTGATAAATCCAAACAAACTGCAAGAAATATAGGAACCTCAATCAAAGGCATACACTGGATGCACAATTATCTACTTCTCCCACCAAGAGATAATTCCAATATATAAGCTAACATACATTTGTTACAAATAATCAACTTAATTAATTTTCTTAATAATCATAAATTAGTTACCTAGCTCTCATATAAAGACCAAAGGTAGTAAAAAGAATATCAAGTGATAAAGAGGGGAAGCATATAACACAGAAACAATGTTCCGAAAAAGACATTAATACCTGTACAGTGGGAAAATGTTTTGCATGTAAAATGACCCCTGCTTCTGCTTCATCAAATTTTGAGATATAATTCTCATTAGGGTAGCAGCTAGTAGAGCGACAAAGCATCCGGAAAAGAAGCCTATGAGTAAAAAGGCAAGGTAAATGTCATTCAATGAAAGTCTTCCAAGTGACGCTTCAAGTCAACCATTTTATCTGCTGTATTTGCCAAGCATTTTTGATAGTATTTACCTGTAAGAAATGTTATGCTGTGCTTTTCTCTGTTAGATTTTGGCCTCAATAATTTCCTTCCCTTCTTATGATTGGAGCGTGCAAAGTTTCTGGTGAAAGTAGACTCCACCCTCTCCAACATACAGGTTACCTAAAATCAGATCAAGTGAATCAACAAGTTTACAAAAAAATCAGCATAGCATCACTAAGATGGTTTAAGTGTTTCAATTAGCTTATTTTAAATGATTTTGCACTGTATGAGATAAGTATATGACATGAGTTGTCTCTTAAAGTGTAAAAGAGCCTCTTTTTTTTTTTATTGATTCTCTGATTTCCCAAACACTAATGCCACCAGATTGTATACTAGACTCAAAACTATCAACTAGATATCACCTGAAAGACATGATTAAAAGATATGATAAAATGCCATAATCAGGAACTTTCTGCATGAAATATTTGAATCATAGTCCTCCGGTCCTTAATATAGAACCTAATTCTTGAGTTGATTTTGGTCCTAAATATAAGACTCATTTCTCATATTTATCAATTTTCTCTAAATTACCCCTATGGATACTCCCTCAACCATAATCAATTAAAAGAGAGAGGGGGTAGTAAGAAAGATGATTATGATATTTTAGGAAAAATGTGTCACTTTTCTTATAATTAACTAACTTACCTAACTTCCTTAATCTAATCAAATTAGTTAAATGGGTCTTATATCAAGGACCGAAGGAGTATTACATTTTCTTATGAAGGATATTATAATAATCAGATAATTAGATGAATGAAGTCTGAGGCAGCGGCATAAAAGTCATAATTACGATCAGTACCCTAAATATGATACATAAATGGTTCAAAGTTAAAACAAACCTCATCAGAAGTGCCTATGTAGGAATTATCCACTACTCTCATGAATGCTCTAGACGCTGCCCTTGTTGTTGTCTTCCCAAATTAGCACATAAAAAAATGAAACTAATTAACTAACTAATAAAAATGAAATCAAGTTACAGAAGACCTTATCTGATTTGAGCAATTATTTTGCGAATTCCTCTGGTGCAATTTTGATTTCAGTGAAGAACAAGAAACTAATGGAACTGAAATTTGGAAGGAATCAGGCATGGATGTAACCTTTTCATACTTCTCCATGATCTTGGAAAAAGCTGAGAGGTTCATAAAACTGTTTCATCCATGTTTACAAACACAATCACAACCACGCACTGGTTAAGGGAAAAGAAGGCCATTTTACTCTGATCTATTAGAATGCAACAAGTCCCATCAACTTTCATCACCTGTAATTTTTCAGATTAAGTAGTTTCTGATAGAATTCAACAAACACAAGCCTCAATTGCTTCTCAACTTTTCTCAGATCTTCCTTGCTGAAACTAGATTCCTCTTTCTTGAGATCAGTAAAAACGCTTCTGATTGCTGACGTTGAAGTGTCAATTGTACTATCAATCTTCACTTGGTCCAGGATTTCCAACGGATTTCTTCTGTTATAATTACTCCGTCCTTCCTCCCCATTATGATCAGCATTTCCGTTTGTGACATCCATATCTTTTTG